AGATAGATAGATAGATAGATAGATAGATAGATAGATGGATGATATATATACATAGAGAGAGAGAGAGATGGAGATAGAGATAGAGATGATAGAGATAGAGATAGAGATAGAGGTGACAGAGAAATCTCAAGTGGGAAAGTCTACTAAGAAAGGAATGCTGGAGCTTAAGAGACCAAATATTTTCATCAGCTCAGGAACTTCCTGTTACAGATATTGTGAATTCAATTAAACACAATTAGAATGACACAAGCAATAATTACAGTGGAACTCTGCATTCAGTAAAATGTTAAGAATTACTTTTTCTCCTCCTAATAGTCAGTCATGTGAGGTTAGTTTTTTTGTAAAAGAGGAACTCCAGATGGGAAATAACTTCTCCAGATCGTTCCTGTTTGTGGAAACTAATGTTCCAAGCCTAAAGTCTAAACCAGAACCTAGCCCAACCGTGGGGGAACTATTTGACAGAGAGTTTAGCATGGCTTTATTAGTCCCTTTTCTAACTTACCTTGTTTCATCAATATATACAGATTCGAGCACTGTGGCTGCATACTCCAAATTCTTCTTAAGATCTACCACGGAAGCTTCTCCTCTCTCTAACTGCTTGACCAAAGACCGTAACCTATGGGGGAAAAGATGACATCATCAGAACAGAAGCGTCAAAGAATAAATCTAAAACTATGATGATAGATTATTTTTTTACAGGCACTAAATATTTTTATTTATTCAAATATTTTTGAAAGAAAAATAATGGGATCAAAGTAGCAAGTTACAAAGTAAATAAACCAAAACCAAAAATATTCTCATCAGTCAGACCCTGATCACTCCCAAGATTCTCTAGGACCATTTTATTTTTATCAAGTTCTAAATAATGGGTGATTTTTACTTTTCCTAGTTATGTATCTTTCAAGCTATAGTTGAATATAAGCTAAGTCTGAGCAGAAATAAATACCACCACACACTTCTGAGATGCTTTTTGTTGAAGGCACTTTGGTCAGCAGTAGCCATAGAGAACATCAGTCACATGGCCCACAGATGTCTCAAGACACATGGGAAGATGTAGTCCACCATTGTAGTCACAGAAAGCCACAAAAAACAGAGGTGCAGGTCACCTATTTCAGTGGACAGGAAGGAAGGAGCCATATGTAATACCCTAGCTGTAAAAAAGAGGATGGATGATAGGCTGAGGATTTCCAAATCATCCAAGGAAATAAAGAAGAATACTCCTATCTAGCTATTATCTATCTATCTATCTATCTATCTATCTATCTATCTATCTATCATCTATCTATCTACCAATCATCTATCTATCATCTATCTATAGCCAATCTCTATATAGCCATTATTTGCACAGAAAGCAATATATGCAACATCAATAAAATACCTGCAGTTTATCAGAGTATACTAACTGGAAATACTGCAAATACCATAAAGACACCTTGGCAGCCAATGGTCATAGCAACAGTAGAGTCTGAAGACAAACTTGGGTTTGAGTCCTACTGCACAGAGAACCCACTATGTAAGACATTTAACCTCTCTGAGGATTATATACAAGACAGATCAAGCAACAGGTGTTGGAGACTGATACAAGATCAAATGAAGTTGATACAAACTATGTGATTCTTGGCTGTTTTTAAAAATGCAGTTGTTAAAATTATTGTCATTTCTGTTAGTGATCTTCATCATCATAGGTGACGCTAAGAAAACTCTTGGCAGGAGAGTTAAGATCACTGTCAAGTCTTCATTGGACATTGGTTTATACAACTTGCCCTTGTCTTCCTTACTTCAAAATAGCCCCTGATTTGCAAGAGTAGGAGAGAATAAATTGACTACTTGGCAAGGTATATGATATTTGCTTCCTGATATTCATGAAAAGGAACCCCCAAATTGAGAAAAAATCCTAGATCAATCTTTAAAACTCGGGAAAGGATCAACCATACCAAAAAATTTCAATAATGTAAACTACAGATTGAAGGCAGTCTCTACTGACTTGTGAATTGCCAACACGCAAAAAGGAAATCAGCACAGGCTTCGTAGACAAGTTAGGGTCAGCCTTGTGGGTCTCATTAGCAGCACTAAGAAATGTATTCACAATTGGTCAACATGCAGAGAATAAGAGACTACAGAGTGCTCAGCCCTATATGGGACATCTTTATCACACCCCTCTCTCGAAGGCTTGGGGAATCTCTGCAGAAGAGGGGAAAGAAGGACAGAAAGAATTTTAAGGGCCAGAGGTAGAGGATGACTAAGCCCAAACAGTGTTGCCTGGACACAAGAGGGCAGTTAGACACTCGAATTCACAGCAGGTGTGACAGCATGTAAAAGATTTGTGAAAGATCAAGCAGACAAAATCTCAGCATGGAGGATTGAGGGGGGCATGAAGTCTCACCCCTAGCTAAGGAGAGGAAGAGTCTGTTTTCTTTAACAGTGTGCCTCCTGGTAGGCTGACTATGCTCAAGGGCTGTTTCTACACTTAAGAATATTTGACCAAATCAAATCAGACTCAGTTGAAAAAATACTAAATAATAACATGAAGTTAGATGGGTAGGGAGGGTGGGGATGTCTAGAAGAAATTCGGGAAGGGAAGAATGTGATCAAAATACATTGCATGACACCCTCAAAGAATTAATAAAAATATTGTTTAAAAAAGAAATGAACTGGCTGTTAGAGTCAGTACAGATAAATAAGACTTAGGTTGTGTGAAAAGCCAGAGGGAAATGTATTAGTTCACAAGCTTACTGAATAAGACATATATATATATATATATATGAATGAGTGGATGTAGATAGTTGAAATTATATAAGAAAAAAACACAGTAACACATTGTCAGACAGGGGAAAGTCCCTTCAAGTTGTTGGTCAGGGTAGTCCAAGAAACTCCCAAAATCACACAGGCTATAGTCATAGCCCTTGATTACCTCCCAGAACTTGAAGGTAAGACCCTATTCCTGAAGATTTGACATATTTTGGACATAAAACTTGGAGCAATTGAGCTGGAACTGATCTAGAAGCCTCCTCCCTGAAGACTAGCCCCCACAGTATCAGAAGATACTATACAAACTGCCAAGGAAGAAAAACCAATCAGTGACCCCATCCAGCTGTAACATCTATGAACCACAATAATTTGCAAATAAACCCTATTGGTACAATAGTGGCACTTTTATTTTGGGGGTAATCAACAACTATCTAATTGAACATAAGACCCATTCAATAGGAGGTAACTCATGAGTAGTACTGTAAACATGGTCAGATACACATGGCTGGAGAGGTTATAGATCCTAGAGACAAACCTACGTTTCTCACATCTCCAGACCAATGTAATTTCTTACTGTATTCTAATTATGCATCCTTATATTTACAGAGAAGTGTACCCCTGGCCACTTAAAAAAGAAACTTCTTTTTGCAAGAGATGGAGACTATTACAAAGTTCCACAACTGGTCAAAGGCAAAGAATAAGTGTGAAGTGCTCAGTTCTAAATGACACATCTACAATGCAACCTCTACACCCAAGGCTCAGGGAACACAGCAGAACAGGGGACAGAAAGAATGCACCTCTCAACTCTCACCAGCATCACTTTCTCATGCAACAGATGGTGATTAACTCAGAAAGTCACACCTGGCCAAAATGCAGAGAATAAGAGATTACAGAACGCTTGTCCCTGGTAGGACACCTACATCAAACCTCTGCCACCCAAAGCTCAGAGCCCATTGCAGAAGAGAGGGCAGAAAGAATGTAAGAGCCAGAGGTGGTGGATGACCACAAGGAAATGATTTTCCAGATGGCTGGGAAGTTCCTCATATGAACTTACAGCAATGGTGACAGCATGTACATGACCCAAACAAGCTCAAGACAAGACAGAATCCCAGCACAGAAGTGGGGAAGTGGGGAAGAAGCCCCAACCTCAGCTGAGGAACCACAGGCAACTGATAACTGCTGGAAGACAGAGAATCCGTTTTCTTTAAGGGTGTGACTCTAGATGGGTTAACCGGGTTCCAGTGGATGGATGCACACTGAAAAACATTTGGGGACAAGAACTTGATTCAATAGGCTTGAATATATATGATTAGCATACATGAAATCTGGCAGGGGACCTAGAAGAGGGATAGAGATAGGGGGTCTAAGTACAATCAAATTATACTGTATGAAATTCATAAAAATTCAGTGAAAAAGAAAAAAGAAGTGTGCTGGATTTTAAAGTCAGCACAAGACATAATGTTGGCATGGGGGAGGGGCTGTCAGTAACTCACATTTAGTGAACAGTCACTCCACCAAAGAATGAGGAGACTATATCAAGGAATGAATGGCTGTTCTAAATAAGGATCAGAAGCTCTTTAGCCAAACTCATTCCTTACTGTGTTGGTTACTTTTCTGTTGCTGTGATAAAACACCATGAGGAAGCATAAAAATTTTCGTCATGTTAATTAGTAGAGGTGATAAACATTACCATTGAAATCTACCCGCTGACTTTGTAGACATACACAAGCACCAAGGATCCAAGTGCAACCGATTATGGCTAGTAATAATCAGATACATACAGATTAGAGACGCATGCACCAACATCTCAGTGTTAGTAAAAAGAACAATGAGTCTTTCTGTAAGAAACAGTATATTTTAAAATGAAATGGAGATCTTTTTTAAAGGTTAAAAACTCATTCAATTTTATGTCTTACAGGGTTTATACTGAGTTTGAAAGAGCTGTATCTTTGGTCTGGAGACTGTTATTGAGCATATTAAAACTGTAATGACATGTTTCTTCTAAAAAAAGATAAAAAATAATATTAAAAAAAAAAACCCACCAATGACCAAGGCCACTTACAGAAGGAGACGTTTATTCAGGCTCACATTTCCAGAGGACTAGAAACCCATCATGGTCTAGGAGGCATATTGGGGGAGGCAGGCAGAGCAGGAAGCTGAGTGCTCACATCTTCAACCACCAGTGGAAAACAGAGACCTTAAACCGGAAGTGAGGCAGGGCTATGAACACTCAGAGCCTGCTGTGGTGCTATGCTTTCCCCAGCAATTGCAGCACGCCTCCTAAAGCTCTACAAACAGCATCACCAACTGAGGCCTAGTGTTCTAATGTGTGAGATAGGGGACAGTTCTCATTCAAACCACAAGGCCTCCTAAGTCTGCTCCCCATTTGGAGTCTCACATCAGGTGCCCAGCGGCCACTCGCAAGCTAGTTCTCAACTAGGAAAGTGAATTGAGAATAATTTCAAACTTTTTAAATATTTTTGCCTTCAATTGAAGCTTAAAGATTCTACCAAGAATTTAGTATGAATGTCTAATCAGGACCTATGTTAATCCTCAAGACCTAAGAGGAAAGGACAAAGGAGAAAAAAAATAATAAGGGGAAATACAACTGATAGAAAAACCAGAAGGTGCACCTACCTACAATGGTTTCCATGGAAACCAACAGAAGCACTTCAATACATTTTAAATTTAAAGACTAAAGTAAAACCCATATAAGCAAGTAAAAATAGATAAAGTAAAACAAGACAAAAAAATTGAAAAAATCCAACTTATCCTATGTAACTTTTTACTCCAAAATAAGGAAAAACTGGAAGAGTTCTGAGAACATAAAGCCTTCAAAAATTCAAGCTGACCACAGGTTTCTGCTAA